GTTGTCTATTGGCTTTAGGCCCAAAGGATACAGCTATAGTGTGCACTTCTTTAAGGACTATGAGATAATAGAGCAATGGCGTGCTTGTAGTTTTATCTGCAATGATTGGGACTGGTCACGATACCATGTTCAGCACCAGTAAATGGGCTATGACTAATATGCTATGACACTGTTTCATGTAACGATGTATAGGGACTTGCTTTGAAAAAAACAAACTTTAATCTGTTCACATTATATCCATGAGCGGATATGTTATGAACACGTGATATAATAGGCACTTAGTTTTACCATTCCTGCTACTGTGGCTTTGTAAAATATATATGTGATGTATAGTTATTTAAACTGTATATGGGTTATTTTTTTAAATATGATGCCTGAATGCCCATTCAGCAGTATTACGTGCATTAACTGTCACTGAAACCATGCTAACCTGTGTTCAGGCAGCTTAGGTGAGCTGTTTTTACAGCAGTCCAATGATACAGTGAAAGCTCTCCTGCCAGATGGCTCGGGGGGAGGGCTTCAACCAGGGAGCACTTTAATCAATCTGATTAAGGGGAAATGCTGCCTGTATTTTTAGCCACTCCATGGCAGGCCAGTAGCCATTCATTGAATTTTGTTTCATTAGCTCTCATGTTTATCTCCTGGACGGGTGGGTTTATAAACAGGGGTGAACCAAAGTAGGAGCTAAAATAAGGAATCCATTAGCTATTTTAGCTAATAACGTTCTTTAGTAAATGTTCTTATGAATAACTGAATAGTCACTCTGTAATTCCAATAATAAAGGCTTCATTTATGGCCTGACTCTGCTGCCGAAACAAATTACAATTGATCTTGAAAAAAGGGTTATTTGTTGTTTCTAGGGCTGCAGCCTCTCTCGCTAGCCGGATGTTGTTAAATTCCAAGAAAAAACATGGTCTTAAAATGAAAATCCCTAAAGACCTGATTCCTCAGAGAGAGGGAAATTCCGACAAATTCCTTCCAAGCTAAAAACAGTCAAAATATTATCCATATAATTCAATTATTAAATATAACTCCATATTATCAAAATATGGAAAACAATTTGGTCCCAGTGGAAATATATAATGTTATTTTTTAAACAAAACAGTGATTCACAAGTGTTTATTTGAACTTAAACAAAAACAAAAAATTTGAATGATAGACTAAAGTAAGACAGCACTTAGATCTAGCTTAAACTAAGAGAGCTGTCCTTGCAAATGGCCAAATTATCGAAATCTCCAGCTGGCTCCTAAAACTGTGCTCTGTGACCAGCTGTCAACAGTTTACTCATTTGCTGGCATGACTGATTATTTTAGGTGATGTAATGCGATGATGTGCATGTCACTCTCAGGACAACCATCCCAGATAGATGCAATAAGGCTCAGTTAGGCAGCAAAGCACAGCAATGTGTAATAATGGTAAACATGAAAGAGAGAAGGACATGTATTGCTGGAATTGATAGCTAGAGACAGATAAATCATCATTAGTAGCCTCCTAGCAGAGCATAATTCAGTTTAAGATATGATGCTAAAAAATGCACTACTACGTATGCTGTACTACTCGCATCAAAAGTGACTATTGTTGATGGTATTCTACATCTCTCATCATCCGTTATCCCCCTCCCTCATTTTCTCTTTACCTAAGACTAAATGTGCATGATGTCAGTAAGTGGTTTACAGTATACTGTAGTATGCTTCACGACCCTCATATTTACCCACCAAGGCTGTGTAAACATACACATGTCCTCTCTTTGTCAGATTAAGTAAGCCCTCAATCAGCTCTGAGACCTTTGCTTTGCTATGACTCAGAGTAGAGTCCCAGCTGGTGTCCTTTCTGATTAATGTATTTAATAATTTAATGTTACAAAAGCTAAAGTAATAATGTACTGTAAAAAGTTGTACTTATAAGGGTTTTTGTGTGTGAAAGTGTCTGGGGATTCAGGTGCATGCATGCCCCTGGGAACATGAACTTCTCTATCGCAGATGTGTTTTCTCTAATGTGGGACAGTGTGGAGGTGCCTGGAATAATCCTGTCCATATGAGACAAAGTTTCCTGGAAAGCTTGAGCGTTTGCATTATTTTCCCAGCATTACTCAACCCAAGTAATTATTATTATTGCTTTATTGTTATGGAAGAAAGAGAAACAGAGAAATGGTATCTTAATCAGAACTGAGTACATCACGTTCTCATATCACCTCTGTTCTGAAATTGGGAGCATGTGTGTTATATTTTTGGCGTTACCAAGTGTCATTAGCATTACATGATTGAAGGTTAATTGTTTTGAGTTGTGGCCACGTGTACATTTTCAGAAATTCACTGTATTTTATGCCTGCATAAGTAGTGTTGGTATACGATCTCTAGTCAACCATGTAATGAGAGGATGACAATTAACTAGGAAAAATGCCTATAGTTAAGTATAATAGAAAACTAATGGTCTTGCACTGTTCAATTTACCCACAAATGTCTTTTATTTTTTTTAAGATTTCTTTGGATGCCTTAATTCAAGTACACATGGTCCAGGGCCTGATTTGAACCCAGGTCCTCCCCCAGTACATGGGCTGTCTACCAACTGAGCTATACGATGGCCCTACCCACACGTGTCCGAAGAGGTTTTCCTGTCCTTTCCTGACCCGTAAAAACACAATCTCATAGATTTATGAGATTTAATTGACAGCAATATCATAAGGGTTTGCCGGGGCCAGTTCTTTACATTGACGTCTGCGTGTGTGTCCATGTGTTCCAAGTATTATGGCCTCTGTGACCCTTATAGACCTGGACTCATTCCAAATGATGGATATCAAAGGACATCAACAATGATTGGAGTCCATTCTGAAAAAGCCCCTACTTCATCATCTTGTTGTGCAATTGAAAACAGTCGGGCTCAATATCATAATGGCTTTTGGCTTACCAACCTCTCTATCTTGTGTGTGTCTCTTTATCCCTCCCCTTTGACTTGAAGATGATGTTATTCACTTTTTCTGTTGATGAGAATTCCTCTTTTGTTTTGGTTTTGTTTCTTTCTGCACAAGTTGGCATCACAGTATTCTGTTCTCCTTCTTCTTAATATTCAAACCACCACACTCTGCCAGTTGACCCTTTAAAAGCAGCATCCCCATCTTTAGCAGAACCTTGAGTGTCATTGAAAGAGACAGGTAGTTGAGAGAATGCAACACAGCATGGCATGCAATAGCCCATGCAGCCAGGAAACAGGCATATAAAGTAGCATCATGATTCACAACTGACCAGGGCAGTGAGCGTCAAGTTAAGCCCTGAGGACTCCAGTCCATCTCTGAAGACTTGAACAAAATGGAAAAATCCTATTTATAGTCTGACTCGTGCCTAAAAATGTCAGGATACAAATGATTTTTACCGACACCGCCGGAAGCAGAGCAACCGAGGTAAATGGAAATGATCAAATTGGAAAAGAAATGAATTGGAGAAAAACGTGTACTCGAACACAAAAGGTTACTTTCATTTTGTACTTCAATCAGAAAAGTAAGAATAATGAAAACTATTCAAGTCAATATGCCAGCTAAGGTGTAAGAGGAGCTGATATGAGTGTGTATTGGTGTATGAGTACATGAATGACTGGGTAGTGATTTGATGGTTGCTACCCTGAGAGCCATACGTTTTGTGTTTCAATAGAAAATGCAATTACTGAAAGTGATCCTTTCATATGGTTTATAGCCAGGGATTGCCATTTATAAAACGTGCTGTACCTGTGTGCACTGATTTATGAGTCTATGTGTGTGGGGAAATAGAACATGGAGGCATTTACTTCTTATAACTAAGAATCAATGCCCTTCCGTCACTATACAAAGCAGGTCCTCTTCAACAGAGTCATTTTGTATGTTTTATGTTACCTGAAAGCCACAATATTTTCTACATGTTTGGAAAGTGAGGAATGAGCGACAGATATTTATTTGGTTGCAATCTGCAATTTCATCGCTTGATGCCCATACATCCTACACACTGGACCTTTTAAACTTTTTAAGAGGTCCTCTCAGAATCCAAATTAGGATGGATGAGTTTTGTAAATTATATAAAAGATTAATACGATCTGTCATTTATCGAAAGTGCATTGCTGGGATCATGACCAAAAAGTAAATGGGGCCATTAAGTGAGTAGAGATTTAATCTGGACATCAGTGAGCTCAAACACAGATTCTGAATGTCGTGGACAGTCAGCCGAGGGGTATTTATGTCCTTTTTAAGTGAAAAGATGTGCCAACTCGAACTACACTGCTGCTTGTTAAATATTTATTATCTTGTATTTCCCAGCACGGGTGTATTGATTTGTACTCTTTTAGGAGTGCCATAGTGCCATTGGGCACGTAATCATTTCGTCAGCATATCAAATTCTGCCTGAAGTGGATACTAGCCATTATCTAATTTCACTAATGCTGGCGTTTTTGTTACCCAGACGCCTGTGCAGCTTTACAGTTCAAGGTGACATGTAAACTAATGAATGTGCAAAAATACAAGTCTGAGATGAAACATGCATATAATGACACTAACTTCAAAAGCTGGCACATACACACACATTGCATCACCTCTGAAACTGTACTTACATCTGTTACTCACTTTTCTATTTTATAGCACTTACTGCGCTCACTTGCGCGCACACACATACACACACACACACACACACACACATACACATACACATACACACACATAAACACGTTGCTTTACCTTGAGGGCTCATTCATTCTTTTACATTCATACTTTCTAGTGTAATCCTCCTGTACTTTGTGCGCTCATGCTTTACTTTTTTGAAGGGTTAGGCTACTTCTTCTCTGCTTCTCTGACAGTACAAGCCTAATTGCCTGACGTCTCTTCCTCCACCCCTCTTCCTCCTCTGCCTCTTCCTCCTCTGCCTCTTCCTCCTCTGCCTCTTCCTCCTCTGCCTCTTCCTCTCTCTCTCTCTCTCTCTCTCTCTCTCTCTCTCTCTCTCTCTCTCTCTCTCTCTCTCTCTCTCTCTCTCTCTCTCTCTCTCTCTCAGAAGTGTGACTGCCTGCTCAGCCTGGAAGTATATTCAGCAGACCAGAAGCGCCGTGTGTGTCAGTGCCTGAAGGACAACATTGACAAGCAGCTCCAGCTTCACAGGAGGGAGGCTTCCTTTCAACATTTTGATGAGGTATGCCACATGAACACACACATCTAGGAACATTTCCAATTTTATTTGAGGACAAAGATAAATAACTAAACATATGAACACATGGAAATGCGTATATATGTGCATTCCCCCATCATTGATACCTTCTGAGCATCACACTCGCTTTCCTGCAGCTCATATTACCACCGTTGTGATTGTCCACTTAGCTCTCACATTTCTTTTGCCAAGTTTAATGCTGCCTTTCATCTGGCTGGATTTAAGTGTCAAAGTTTTTCACTGTGATTTTAGGAAGGAAAACCTTCTCTGTTTTGTCTTCTCATTGACATGTTTGTTTTTATGTTCAGCTTCCATCTCACAGTACAAAGCAGTACTAAGCTGGGGTTAAGTAAGGGCAGCAGTTTGTAAATAAATGTTTTTGAGCTATTTTCACCAGGATGGAGATGAGAGATAAGCATGACAGGTCATTTCTAATGCCCATTCCCAGGAGCTTTACTTGCTCTTTCTCAGTTCCATTAATGTAGAAAAACCAGAAATAAACTCATTGGTTTTGCTGATGATAGCAATAGGTTGTTCTCTGACCACCACTCTGCAAGATTGTTAATTTCCTTTGTATATATAATCTCATCTATCTTTGTAATGTGGCTGAACATGGTAGTGACAACCGCAACCTTCAAAACAGAGTTCTCTTCATGTCCAGGGGTTGTTGTTGGTGTACAGCATGAACAGGAGGGGGCTGAGCACACAGCCCTGGGGGACTCCGTGTTCAACACTTGAGTCGAGGTGGAAAAGACCACTGATCTGAACTGCCTTGGGTCCAGCATATACAGATTGTAGCACCATCTGCGTTGAAGTTTAGTCATGCGTCAGTCCACCTGACGAACCTTTAAGCCATTTTCTTTTTGGTCTTTTGCAACCCCTGATGGCAATATCTGGCTGTGTAGCTGCTAATGGCTCTAGACAGACATATTTATTTAATCTTTTTAGCTGAAAACAGCTGCCTGTTGCAACCAAAAACACAATTTTGTTTATTTGAATCCAACCATATGCAGAATGTGAAGTTTTATAAAGCTTTTCTAAAACCAATCTAAATCACTGTTGGATTAAGTCAGTACACCCCTACTTGAAATGTAACACAGTAGTGGTGCATGGTGCTGTTGGGATTCACTGTAACTGATCTGTAAGTGCTCTGTGGGCTCACTCGAGTGCCCTTGTTAAGTGGCTGGCTGCTGCAGAGCGGTGAATGAGATTCTTGTGGGGCATTTGGTCATTCAAGCATTCCTACAACTGAGCAGGACAATCTTTTCAAAAATATTTGTATTGTCCTGTCAAGGAAATGCCTTTTTGGTGACATTTCTGGTGCTGGCGATTTTCAATCTGACAAACTTTGAACAAAATAGAATGTGGAAAAAGGGTAGTATTATAGTTTAAGATGCAAAGCTGTAATATAGAATATCTGTATTTAATGTATAGATTTTAGCAGTGACGTGACGTCCTACATTTCAAAGCAGTGCAACCCAGTTAATTTTGCTGAAAGGTTAAAAGGGATGAATAGCTTTGAGTTGAGATGTCACACATGTTGCTCATTAGGGGTTTGTTTCATCAGCACATGAAAGAGAGTAAGAGTGAGAGACTAGTCAACAGTCTACAGTATAATGCCTCTCTTTCTACATGAACGCCTATTCATTTGTGTTCATGTTTATGTGTGTGTATTTTTGACATATGGTTTACCCAAAAAGATTCAAGTGTAAACGACCCAGAACTTGGCCTGTAGTTGAATATTCTCCAACATTTTAAGGGTGAATTGTGCCAAAGAAATCAACATATTTAAACATTCATACAAACAAGAGACATAAGTTATACCACAGCGGCTTTGTACAAATTGCTTTCCTTGCCTGTTTCCTCCCTTGAGCTGTGTGAATAAGGTGCGACGGGCTGACCGAATTATCACATTCACACACATTGCTGTGGTCAATACATTCAATAACTAAACAGCTTGGAAAGCATGCTCTGTCATGAAAGTCAATTCCATTTACTTGGACTGTTTTGACAGAACCGCTAAATTGATCGGTATAGACATGGTAAAATAAACTGCCATGATTGATTGCTTTTCCAATTTTCATTAGTTTTTAACAAGTTCAATCATTCATGAAGGATATACCATTGCCTCGTGTTTCAAAGGCTTTGTAGCTAATTATGCTTATCAAAGCGTTACCTGTTTTCTCTCTCCCATAGGAGGAGGGACCTGCCTACCTGCTCTGAAACAACATTTTTGCCTGATAAAAAACAAACACATCCTATATATCGTTAAGCTAGCTACCACAGTTCAAAACGAATAGTCAGTTGCAGTTTTATACGATAACCCAAGTTTTATTTTATTCAAAATAAACACCTTAAAATGCCTGCGTAGGATGGACAATCGATTCAGACACTGATAGTGCTATCGCAAATAAATGTTACATTCAAGTGTGCATTGCATGCTTGTCCTGCCCTGTGGAGATATTCCTGTACACTTTCTTTGTGCAGTCATTAGAACCTTTTACTGTGAACTCTTATTAAAGGGAAATCTGAACCCCTGAAGGCAAAATAATACATGTTTAATCATAACATTTTACATCTTGACAAATTAGTTCACTTTTGATTGCATTTCTCCAGAATACCTTTGAGGCAAATAGTTTGTATTCAGTCAACTGTGTTTAATTATATGTAAATCAGCAGGAGATATGAGGAAGATGCCTTTGTAGTAGCTTATCTGATGAATGGGAGCTTAAAAAATGGTGTTTTGTGTAATTTAGTTAGGAAGTTTCTTTTATGTAATTTTATATCTGGGTCAATCTTTTTTTAGAGATTGTAAATGCATCGGATATATACATTTAAAAAGAGAGTGAATATCAAAATGACAACAAACACGATTAATAGTCTGACATAATGCCTTAAATAATTATTAAAATGTGTGCTTTGATTTAACCTCTCTTCACAGTCACTAGTTTATAAAATGTAAATAGTTCAAAGTTCAAAACATTTCGGAGAATGTTCCAATAATTGGACATGGAGTCATATTCCTTTGGTGGTGCTAAAATAACGTAATGTGTGCCCCATTGTTACTGCTAAGCCTCCACCAGAACATACTCCCTTGTGTTACAAACTGCATTTGTCCTCTCATGCACAACATCCAGTAAATCCAAACTTAGCTGAAGCATGCACTTTACTCGAGAGTAATGTTCAGAATCCACTCCAAAGGGAAACAAACATCTTACAGAGCCACGTTGCTTCTTTCATTCATGTTTTTCTAACAAATGGGGTCACTCCGTCACAGTGTGCCTCGGTGCCTCCACTCTGTGATCACTTTAAATGCTTCCCTTTGGAGACAAAAATTGGATATGAGCCCTTTTCACTCGAAGATTCTTCAAGTCGGGCAAAAAGTTGCCATTTTGTCGTTTGTATGGAGCTTAATTTAAAGTCGGTAGATGTTGAAGAGAGTATTTGAGGAAAATGTTTATGATGATTAACTCCAATTTGAATAACTGATGCTGACTCCGGTTGTTTTGCTCTGTCAGACCCCCAGCGGGACCAAAATAACGACAGAATAATCTGACATGAAGCTGTAGATGCCACAAAATATATATGGCAGAAAAGTGGTGCATAACTTGGCCAGGATTCTGCCAAGGGGATGTAAGAGTCATAACAAGGATATTACAAGGTCGGGTGTTATAACTGAGGATGACCCTGGACATAGACCTTCATAAAGACGCAGAGGCAGCTGTCGTACAATGAGACTTTGTAAATTATGTAAATAAAATCATAAAATCTAAAACAAAATATATTTTCAATCTTCTCAGTCAATTTGCATGCCATGCTGATTTAAACGTTGATCAGAATATTAGCTTTGCCTTACATTTATTTTTATTTTAGTAATTTTAGTTGATTTCAGTAACACATAATACCTCCAAATTAATTCAGATTAAGGTGTTATAACTCTGTGTTCTTCTCCAGATTACGTGTTAATAACTTGACTTTTTTTTTTACAGTATTATATAAACTGCAGCATTGCTCTAATAAACTGATTACAGTGAAAACATTTAATTTAATATTTATTTATTTGACATCACATTTCACACTGGGACATCACATGCTTTACAGAGGTGGTTCAGAGTGTGGGGCAAACTAATGTGATTCTACATTTAATGTTTTCATTTAAAGTAAAAGCCGCACATTTGAAAACATTTTTAATGGTCATGGGATCTTTAAAACATTTTTTGTGGCATCCTAAATCAGCAAACCAATGCAGTCTACAAACTCATGATTTATAACAAGTCTTTAAACCCTTTTTATTTGTTTTTTTTACTCGTGTACAGAAACACTTAACACTTAACCTTGTGGTGTGGTACCCCACAGCCATTATAAGCCTGTGAGCTCTTTCCTTAGAAAGCTTCCGGTGCAGTCTTGTCTGGGCAGCATTAGCCACTAAGCTGCTGGAAAAATACATGTGTTCAGCTGCAGACACACACATGCCCTCAAATGAGAATTAAGGCAGGACTGGCCATTTTGAAAATGACAGCTGCACTTCATCACACTCAGTAAGCATTTGATGAGCAATGCTGGCACTCCTTCTCCGAGCCAGAAGACAAAATCAAACTATCTGCAGTTAAAGTTGCATAAATCATATACATGGGGGTGAAAAAAGATGGCTGCTGCAGCTGCTAATGAACGACGTGCGTATGTTGAGGTTGTTGAGGTTTCGAGGCAGCTTGTTCTGTTTCCCTTTCTCTTGCTTACTTTCACATTTGATGAGAACATGTTTAAGAGGCTGAAGTGGTTATAATACAGGATTTATGTTGGAGGAAGCGAGTGACGGCAATATAACAACAAGGACCCTCTATCAGTCCCTCTCTGTCTTACGTAAGTGCTGAAAGTGGTAGGGCTCTCTTCTCCCCTGTCTTCTCTACCCATCTCCTCCACCGCGGGCTAAACTCGATCAATGAACAAGAAGCTCTGGACCAATAGGAAGTCTCAGTGAATATGCA